GCCTGCAGGAAGCAGCCGGTCCATTGGTCTCTCCCACAGTAACGTTTCTCTCTCTCCCCGCCTCCTCTCTCCCTTGCACTCTTTCTAAAAATCAGTGGGGAAAATATCCTCGGACGAAGATTAGAAGCAAGCGTCCTGGCCCTAACGCTCGAGGGGGTGGTCGTGCTCACAGTGGGCTCACTCTGCACCGGGCACTGCCCTCTGCTGGTGGGGAGGGCGGGCGGACGGGCGGGCGGACACAGCCCCGCCCTTCCCTGGATACCCACCTCATAGCTCAGGGACCCCTCCAGTCCCTGCCCGCCCCGTGCCTCTGTGTCCTCCTCCTCAGGGTGCAGCTGGCCAGTCTGCCTGGCGAGGGAGAGGTGAGGATGCGGAGAGCGAGCCGCACGCCCGGCGGTGGCAGGGCCGCTGGCGTCGCTCCCGAACGGCCCAGAGCATGCACGTTGGGGCGGAGGTCCACTGAGAGCAGGCCACCAGCAAGCGCCAGGAGGACAGACTCCGAATGCACCCTTTATCCATGTGTTTGTGTAACACGTAACGGACATGCTCTCTGCTAACACGCCCGGGCTCCAGGCTGGGTGCTGGGTGCTGGGTGCTGGGGCCTCGCTGGTGAACGGGAGACAGCCCCTGCCACCTGTGCCCGGCGCCGAGGCACCGAGGCTGCTGTGCAGAGAGAGGCGGGTCTGTGTTTGGTGAGGGGGTCAGGGGGCCCCTGTGACGGGTGAGACACCTCCTACTTCAGCTGGTGCCGCCCTGACCTCCGGGACCTCCGGGCGTGGCCTTCTGTGGGGAGAGGACCTTCCCGGAGGTGGCCGGGCGAAAGGGAGGCCTCGGCGGGGGACCCGGTCAAGGGCACTAGAATGGACGCAGGCGTGCACACGGGGAAGATGGGGGTGGAGATCGGGGTGATGCGTCTACAAAGAGAGGCTCAGCAGAGATGCCAGCAGGGGGGCAGAGGCCCGGGCAGGGCCCCCTCACGTCCTCCCTGGCCTCAGACCTGAGAGAGGGCGCACCCTGTGCTCTGAGCACTTTGCTCCGGGGCCCCAGGACACTGACACAGCCTCCTGGAGCACTGGGCGTGGTGGGGTACACGCTGGGTGTGTGGCTAGCTGCCGCGGCCGGCCCCCCTCCTGTCCTTAGCTATGGATGCTCTGAGCCGAACTCCTGCACGCTCGCTTCTTCTTCAAGATCGAGGGGGGCTGTTGGCTCAGGAAGGGGGGTCGTTGGCTCAGGAAGGGGGTCATTGGCTCCAGGAAGGGGGTCATTGGCTCCAGGAAGGGGGTCATTGGCTCCAGGAAGTAGACTCATCCTTCTATAATACCTCCCAGAATCCCGAGCAGAAGTCATCAGGAAGAGCCGGCAGGGAGGCTGAAGCAGCAATTAGGAGAGGCTGGTTCTGATTAAGCCCGAACACCCATGGTGGTGAAGGATGGAAACTGTGAAAGGCAATCTATATGCAAACGCTCCCCGTGTTCCCGCCGCACAGGCTGCACCTGGCATCAGCGGCAAAGACCTCCTTTCCCGTCCTTCCTCACGGCCCCGCCGGCCGGCTCCCGTGCCACTGCCACGCAGGCCGAGGCCACGGAGGTCTCCAGAGCCATGCCCAGGGCTCTTGCCGGTCAGGAGTGAGCTACGTGTTCATGAACAGCTGTTTCTCCGAGGCTCCAGGGAAGCGAAGACAGGCACTGGCTGGCAAACAGGCATGAACACGGGAGAACGTGCCCTCGGCGAGGGCGGTGTGTGCAGGATCCCGTGACAGAGGCGTGTGCGCGGGCCTCCTCGACGGGTTGTCTTAGTTTGGGTTTCCCGAGAAGCAGGCCTGAGAGCGGGGTCCACGTGCGAGCAATTTGTGTACGGGGGGACCCCAGCTACCCGTCAGGGAGGGGTGGCGGGAGGGAAGGGAAGGCGGGGGGGGGGGGGGGGAGCGGGGTTACAGAGTGAGTTACCGCCAGGGCACCTGCGGACTCTGGGAGCCATCCTCTGTGTCAGGGACGTGAGGCCGTGGTCCTCCCAGGCCATCCATCCCGGGTGAGGGCGGTCCCCAGGGGGGTCAGCTCTGGGTGTCTCCCCCCCGAGGGGGCAGAGACAGTCCGGCACCGGGACAGCCCAGGGGAGAGGTGGGCGCTGCACTGGAGCGTGAGGAGGAGGCTAAGTTTCTGCTGCTGGAGCCTCCGGTCCATGGGGCTTTGTTACCCGGCCCGAGGCAGGGGCCTTGCTGGACGAGAGGAGGCCGGCGTCTGAGCAGCCCTCGCCGTCAAGGAATGTTGGGATCACGCATGCCCCCTCAGACACGTGCAGCTGAGGAATGTTAGGGTCACGCATGTTCCCTCAGACACGTGCAGCTGAGGAATGTTAGGGTCATGCATGTTCCCTCAGACACGTGCAGCTGAGGAATGTCAGGGTCACCCATGCCCCCTCAGACACGTGCAGCTGAGGAATGTTAGGGTCACGCATGTTCCCCCTCAGACACGTGTTCGAGGCCCTCCTTCTCGCAGATGTCACCTTTCTCAGCGTCCACATTGGCTGCTGTCCTGGTTACCAGCACGATGTTCTGTCTGCATCGGGCCGTGATTTCCCGAACGCAGAGGGCCGCTGTGTTTGCAGAGAAGAGGCAGAGTGAGGAGAAAGCCCAGGGGTTTGGGGTTTTATGAAGCACATCCATCAACCTGAACACAGAGCCGTGTGCAGTGAGGCTGAAAGCGGGGTGGCTCGGCCCGGCACACGGCGGTGTCTGCTGTGCTGGGCACACAGGAGGTCTGTGCGGAGCCGTGGTCCCGCCGTGGCCCCGGCCAGCCCGGAGGGTGGCTCCAGCTTAACTGTGGGTGTGGGCCTGGTGACCCCTGAACTTTGGGGGAGGCTGTGTGTGGGGCCAGGACAGGCCTGTGGGCAGGATGCCATGGGGCTGGGGGCAGCTGTTACCCAAGAACTCCCTGTGGCGGGAGGAGTGGGGTTCTCGGGGTGCTGCCGGAGCCCCACGGGTGGTGAGACGTGGCGGAAGCTTTATTTGCGTGGCATCACGCCCCTGGTTCCCAGTCCCGGTCCCTGGGTCCGTTCCAGAAGAAGCGGAACAGGGGGTGCGGGACAGCTGGAGCCACACCAGTATCCGAGTGTCCGTGGGAGCCAGTCCCGTCCAGCATCAGGCTCCTTCCCGCCCAGGGTCCAGCGTGTGTGCGGTTAGCCTGGCCACGGCAGCACAGGACAATGCCAGGGAGCCAAGCGAGAGCCATGAACCCCTGTGCCAAGGGAAACCATGAGTATAGGAAAACGAGTGTCTTTGTTTAGGGCTGTGGTCGGCAAACCACGGCTCCAGAGTCACATGCAGCTCTATGGCCCTTTGAGTGTGGCTCTTCCACAAAATACCACGGCCTGGGCGAGTCTATTTTGAAGAAGTGGCGTTAGAAGAAGTTTAAGTTCAAAAATTTGACTCTCAAAAGAAATTTCAATCGTCGTACTGTTGCTATTTGGCTCTGTTGACTAATGAGTTTGCCAACCACTGGTTTAAGAGATTATAGATCCCACTTCCTGCCCACTGGGGTGGCCATGTCCATTCCAGCCAATCATCCCAGTCCCCAGGAGTGATTGACAGGCAGCATCTTCCCTGTGTGGTGCCCTCCCCCAGAGCTTGGCAGGGAAGGTACCTGCCTACGATGCCTGGTCTTTGCTTTGCTCCTCTCCTGTTCTGAGGAACCAGCGGCCACACCTGCTGGCCCTCGGCGCTGGGCTCAGTGTAGACCGTACACGCAGCCCGCGTGCCTGGGCGTCTGTGCCCCTTTGCCTGGTGAGGGTGGAAGTCCCCTACCTCGATGGGTCACGGGGAAGAGACTGCGTGGGTCCGGAGAGAGGAGTCCGGGGTGAGCACGGGGCTTGGAGCCTGTGAGGTCAGATGAACGGGGAGCCACCCCTCCTGGGTCCTGCTTTGGGCCAGGAGGGGGAGGAGGAGGCGGCTGGGAGCCACCAGGAGGCGCTGTGAGGTGGGCAGGGCTCAGTGGGCACAGCCTGGAGACAGGAGAAGCCTGGGAGAGCCATGGTGTCAGTGGGGACAGGAGCCGCTGTGCCCTGTGCCCATGAGAAGAGGAAGGAAGGTTTAGGGTGAGGGCTGGATGGGTTCCGGGGGTGGAAATTGGGAGGCGGAGGCGGCTGGGAGCCACCAGGAGGCGCTGTGAGGTAGGCAGGGCTCAGTGGGCACAGCCTGGAGACAGGAGAAGCCTGGGAGAGCCATGGTGTCAGTGGGGACAGGAGCCGCTGTGCCCTGTGCCCGTGAGAAGAGGAAGGTTAGAGTGCGGGCTGGAAGGGCTCCAGGGTGGTGGTTGGGAGGGAGAGGTGGTGTGGGTGCAAACGGAGTGGGAAGTGAGAGGGTGCCCGGCCATGGATGCCAGGAGGTGCTTCAAAAAGGAGCAAGACCGAGGGGGGGAAGCCAGGTGTCTGCTGGGTGAGGCGTGGCCACGTGTTGCTGTGCTTAGGGACACAGCTGGGAGCCGGGCGGGCGCGGGGAGCTGGACGGAGCAGGAAGGGGACCCTCAGGAACCGTGCGTTAGGGGAGGCACCAGACAGGGCCATGCCAGGAGGAGAGCGTGGGCACAGCGTCCCCACCTGCCGGTGCCCCGCTGCCAGGTCTGAGGCCGGCATCCACGACGGAGGGGCAGGACATGATCATGCAGGAGGCAGGGCTGGCTAAGCTGGCGCTGAGTGCCAGGGGCACGAGGGGGCAGAAGAACTTGGAGATGTGAGAGTCCCAGCTCTCTGCCGACCCCTCCCCTCCACACCCCCTGGGGGCGCTCACGGCTGGGTGGATTGGGGGGAGGGGGAGCGGATGGAATATGTGAGAGGTGTCCCTGCAGGCGGGTGCTGCCAGGAGAAGGTAACGCAGTGGGAATGAGGAGCCTCTTGGAGCACACAGCTGGGCACGTAGGTAAGAATGTTGGAAGGAATCCGAGGTTTGGCCAGTCTGACTTGTTCCCTTTTCTCTCCACCCCCCCCCCCCACCCCATTCTCTTTTGCAGTCAACTTTGACCATTTTCAGATCCTGCGGGCCATCGGCAAAGGGAGCTTTGGAAAGGTAAGAAAGATGGTTCTTTTTATTTGTTTATTTTTTTACAGAGAGGAAGGGAAAGGGGTAGGGTTAGAAACATCGAAGAGAGAGAAACGTCATCAGCTGCCTCTTGCACACCCCCTACTGGGGATGTGCCCGCAACCAAGGCACATGCCCTTGACCGGAACCGAACCTGGTACCCTGTAGTCCGCAGGCCGACGCTCTATCCACTGAGCCACACCGGTCAGGGCATATCGCGGTGTGTTCATCCGTTTCACCGTGATGGACCCCAGGGCGGTTCCTCGGTTTGACGGTTGCAGACTTTGCCCGGAAAACCTGCGGGCTCTTTGTGAGCGGGATTCCGTTTCTCTGGGTCGATACCTGCGACTGGAATTGCTTGCGACAGAGCAGGCGTTTGTTCCCTTTTGTGCAGAACTGCCGAAAGGCTTCCAACGTGGCTGCATTCTGCTCCTACCGAGGGCTCCATCGGCTGCCCGTCCTTGCCAGCGCAGAGTGCTACCGGTCTTCCTCCCCTTAGGTATTCTGAGTGTTTAGTTGTATTTCAGCATGGTTTTCACTAGCATTTCCTTGACGAGTAATGCGGATGAACTTCCTTAAAAAATATATTTTGTTGATTTCAGGGAGGAAGGGAGAGGGAGAGAGAGAGAGAAACATCAGTGATAAGAGAGAATCATGGATCCGCTGCCTCCTGTATGCTCCCCACTGGGGATCAAGCCCATAACCCAGGCTTGTGCCCTTGACCGGAATCAAGCCTGGGGCCCTTCAGTCCACAGGCTGATGCTCTATCCACTGAGCTAAACCTGCCAGGGTAGAGATGAACATTTTTTTTTTCCTTGTGCTTCATGAAAAAGTTGTGAGGTTTTTATTCATAACTTTTTGCCATTAAAAATTGGGTTGGCTTATAATTATTTTTATTTTAACAATATTATTTTTATTGATTTCAGAGAGGAAAGGAGAGGGAGAGAGATAGAAGCATCAATGATGAGACAGAATCATGGATCAGCTGCCTCCTGCATGCCCCACACTGGAGCTTGAGTCCTCAACTCTTGCATGTGCCCTGATCGGGAATCAAACCCTGATCTCCTGGTTCATAAGTTGATGCTCAAACCCCTGAGCCATGCTGGCTGGGCTGATTTGTAAACATTGAGTGTGGGCTATATGTCTGGATGCTGGTCCTTTGCCAGACATGAGACGATTCCCTACGAAACTGCAGTCCTTCTATTCACTTTTCTTAGTGTATGTCCTGTGCACAGATGTTTGCCATGTGGATGAGGTCTAATGCATGGAGTTTCTCCATCCAGGCTATTGCTGTGTGTGCCTGGCAGAGGAAAACATGGCTCAGGAAAACATACTCAGGTCACCACGCTGTTTTCCTGGGTCCCCTTTGTAAACGCTGTACGGGTTAGCTGACAGGGTTAGTCCCGTCGTCCACTTTGCCTTACCCTTTCTGTGTGATGTGCAGTAAGGGTTGAGGTTCACGTGCTTGGTATATGGAGGCCCATTTCTTTTTCTTTTAAAAAAATATATTTTATTGATTTTTTTACAGGGAGGGAGAGAGAGGGTAGAGAGTTAGAAACATCGAACCGCTGCCTCCTGCACACCCCCTACTGGGGATGTGTCCAAACCAAGGTACATGCCCTTGGCCGGAATCGAACCCGGGACCTTTCAGTCCGCAGGCCGATGCTCTATCCACTGAGCCAAACCGGTTTCAGCTGGATATCCGTTTCTTGAGAAAATGCCCTTTGCTCCGTGGCTCGCTCTGGTGTCCACAGGAGAAGTCAGGTGCCTGCAGAGTGGGCGGCTCTGGCTCCTGTCCTGTTGGCCTCCCCTCCTCTCCAGGCACCGGGTTGTCCGGATGGCTACAGGCTCACAGTAAGCCCTGAAACCAGGTCTGCTGGCCGGTGGGCCCTGGAAGGGTTCAGGGCCACCTGGAGGGACGTGTCGGGGAGCGGCCTCGCCAGCCCGCACAGCACACGTGGCTGAGCAGGGTCTGCCTCTGCCATCAGACCGCCAGGCTCTGAGAGGTCGGGACTGGTCCTTATCGTCCGCCCGCCCCATCGGCACTGGCTCCGGGCTCAGCGTGTGGCGGAGGCTCAGTCACCGCTGCCTGGGGCGATGAGGAGGGGGAGAGGAGGAGACGGCCCTGTCTGCAGAGCAGCCCTGATGGCATTGAGCACAGAGTAGATCATGTGCTTGCTGCTTCAGACAGATGCGACTCTCAGTGCCAGCCCGGGAGGCTCTGTGTCTGGCTGCTGCCTGCTTCTCAGACAACCCCCCGCCCTGCCCCCGCCCCTGTCTTCCTGCTTGGCCCTCTCCAGCTCTTCCTCCTGTCTCTCGGCACGCCAGACCGATCGCTGACTCAGGGCCTTTGCACGTGCTGCGCCCTCCAGCCCTCCCAGTCCCCCCGGCACTGCCTCCTGGCCCCCCTGATGCTGGGCCAGCAGAGAGAGTCCGGGGCAAAGTGTGCGCTCCGAGGGAACTTGGACGGAACCGGGCCCCACGCCCTTCCAGCGGGGGAGGAGGAGACCTGGGGAGAGCGTTCGGAGACCTTTGAGTCGGCAGCGGCCCCTCCGCTTTAAGAGCCGGCGGGCCGGAGCCTACCAAACGGGAGTTAATTAAAATTCATGGAATCGCCGAGGCAGAGTGTGCACGCGGTGGCGCAAAGCAGCACCGAGGAATAGGATGCGAGTCCTTTCCGCCCCTCGCAGGGAGGCCCGGCGCAGCTGGGCAGGGACTGCACGTTGGTGATGCCGGCCACGCCGCCTGGCGAGGCGTGGTGATCATTTCCCACCGCGAACATATCATTAGCCGTCTCACTCCGCGCGCCAGGCTCCCACCTCTGCATGTCTGGGGGGAAAGCAATAGCTGATTCATAGCAGACGAACAGTTTACGGCCCAGATGGCAGCAAACCCACTGGGGAATTAAGCAGGAGTTCGATGTTACACATGCACTTATCAGTTTGAATGTTCAGAATTTTTTTTTTAAAATATATTTTTATGGATTTCAGAGAAGAAGGGAGAGGGAGAGAGAGAGAAATATCAATGAGGAGAGAGAATCATGGACCAGCTGCCTCCTGCAGGCCCCCGACCGGGGACTGAGCCTGCAACCCTGGCAGGTGCCCTGACCGGGAATGGAACCGTGACCTCCTGGTTCCTAGGTTTACACTCAACCACTGAGCCACACCGGCTGGGCATGAGTGTTCACAAACATTTGACTTGGCTATTCCCTGCCTCCCTCCCCCTTAAAAATAGTCTTTTGGAATCGTTTTGACCTTTTAAGTTGCTGGCCTTCGTGGTAACGGTGGCGCTCAGAAAACGCCCAGCAGGAATTGGAGGTGGACAGCACACGGTCACGGCCGCTGCCCAGCACTGTCCGAGGCGGCTGCGTGTGACCAACAGCTGGGCAAGGTTTGTGATGCCACAGAGCTGACAGTGCCCGAGGGGGCTGGTGGACATGCACACAAGGAGCAAACACGGCATTTCAGCAGCCATCATTGCTCTGTGGGGGAGTGTGGTGCAATGGCCTGGGAGGGCAAGGCTGCTTTCTTTGATCATGTGACCATCTGACGTAAGACCACCACAGATGAAAGAGGCAGCAGGTGCAAAGGCCCTGTGGCAGGCACAGAGTCAGTCATGAGGCAGGGGCAGCAGGTGCAAAGGCCCTGCGACAGGCACAGAGTCAGTCCTGGGTCAGGGGAGCAGGGCACAAATTGGGGGACAGGGGCTGGGGCGGCAGAAGCGTGTGTGGTCCCTGTCTGCTGAGCAGGGACGCAGAGTCTGTGATTGCTTTTCGGAAAGCGACGAGCTAATCGGTCTGTAGCATGCGGGACTGAGAGCCTCAGCTCCAGTCTGTCAGAGCTGAGCTGGAATGCTGGCTGCAGCCGGGGGCTCTGGCATGGGGGCCTCCCTCCTCGGAGCCTGAAAGGGAGCTGGTACCTCACGCAGGAGCCGTGATTAGAATTCCGAAGCACGATGCTCGCTCCGGAAGCCCTGGCTGTGCGCGCAGACGTCTTTCCCAGCGGGCGGCTTCCGCTCCTGGTGAGGAGAGGTCTGCTCGTTTGCTGCTAATTGGGTTGTGTGGGCTTGAGGCGCCCCGTGGAGGGGTTTGCTGGCTCCGGGCTCGCTGTGTGAAGAGCTAAGTATCGCCAGGAGGGCAGGCTTACTCCTGAATGAATGGCTTTCCAGCCGTGGCCGGAGCGGCTGGCCCCTCGCGGACCGATGTGACGGCCTCCATCACTCAAGTGCGTTTCCGTCATCTTCCCGTAACCAGTCCCGTTACCTCGGCTGGGTGAACCCTTCCAGCCTCCCCCCTGATCAGAGCGCTCCAACCTCGCTTCACCCCGACGACACGATTCCATCACCGAGAGCGTCAGGAGCACCGGCTGGTCCTGGCCCCTGGCCCCTGGCCCATGGCCTTTGGCCCACACTTCCCTGGTGTTTCCTGATTCTGTGTGTTCCTGTTATCCAGAGGGGGATCAGTGGGTGTGTGAGCATGGCCTTCGCTTATTTATAAAACTCACGGCACCCCTCTTCCATCTGCCACCAGAAAGAACTTCCTTCCGCCACAAATCTCAGATGTGAGCAGCCTGCTGAGCGCCGACAAGAGCGTGGTCCGCGGGGGCTGCGCTTCCTCCCACTCAGGGCGGACTCTGGCTTTATTCAGAGGGTCTGGTGGGGACAGTGATGGGGGACACTGCTCAGCGCTGGGCCTGCAGGAGGGGGCTCCGTCCACGGGCGCTGCTGGTACTGCCGCTGCCCCATCTGTGCTCCCCAGCGGCGTAGCCTGGGTTTGGGGGTTCCCAGGAGCAGGCTCCGGGGCCAGGATGTTACCCAGGCACCGAGCGGAGGAGAGCGAAGGAAGGTGGCCGCGGTGAGTCAGGGAAGGGCGTCGGGAAGACTGACAGTGAGGGCGCCATCGGCCAGGGACTCTGTGGGAAAACTCAGTCTCCGGGTGTTACAGAAAACCGAAGAACTAATCAATACATTTATTACGCGTGGGTCCAGGGGAAAATGTCTCTCAAATTCTGGGCCCCAACATGCAGGAATTTTCTCTATTTATATGGTTTTACCTTCTTTGTCTCCCAAATATGGGGTATTTCCTGCCCGTTTTGCAAGTCCTTAAAGAGCCCGAGTGTGCTGGGGCCTTGAGACCTCAACCAGGGGCCTGGCCTGGTGCCAGCACTGATAACCTTGTCTGGGGAAGGTGTAATGGCCTCTCTGAAGTGGGAGTGGTCTTAGCAAGCAAGCATTGACAGAAGCCAAAGAGCAGGGTTAACATTTCAAACAGCAGTTTTTATATAAGATGGATGCTTCACGGGAACCCAGGCTGGTCCCGGCCCAGGGGCGAGCAGCCTGGGGTGTAGGTGCCTCGCTCCCAGCTCGGCTCAGGGGCCGCTCCTTTGGCCTTAACCCTCCGGCGTTGCTGGCAGAGGGTCCTCCGCAAAGGAAGCTGGCTCTGGCGCTGGCGGGTGGCAGGGGTGCTGGGTGGGAGGCCCGGACGTCGCAGGGTGCAGACACCGAGCCTTTGTCTGCCTCCTCCGGGCGGTGAGCAACTCCGGGCAGGGCTGCCCCTTCCCTCCCGCATCACAGGCTGCTCTCCCGGTGCTTGCCCTGCCGAGCCTGAGCTTAGCTATTCCGAGGCGGTTGAGCCTGGCACAGCCCACCCGCTGCAGCCGCCGCGCCGCCAGCAGGACAGACTGGAACCCCGAGCCGGGGCAGACCTGCAGGGTGGGTGGCTGCGTCCCCGGCCTGACTGTCGCTCTGCCCGCCAGGTGTGCATCGTGCAGAAGCGGGACACGAAGCGCATGTACGCCATGAAGTACATGAACAAGCAGCAGTGCGTGCAGCGGGACGAGGTGCGCAACGTGCTCCGCGAGCTGCAGATCATGCAGGGCCTGGAGCACCCCTTCCTGGTCAACCTGTGGTGAGTGCCGCACCCCGACACCCCTTCCTGTCAACCAGTGTGAGTGCCCTGCACCCCAAACCCCCTCCTGTCAGCCAGTGTGAGTCCCCATGCACCCCCAAACCCCTTCCTGGTCAACCTGTGGTGAGTGCTGCACCCCAAACCCCTTCCTGTCAGCCAGTGTGAGTGCCCCATGCACCCCCAAACCCCAAACCCCTTCCTGGTCACCTTTGGTGAGTGCCGCACCCTCAAACCCCCTTCCTGGTCACCTTTGGTGAGTGCCCTGCACTCCAACACCCCTTTTTGGTGAACCTGTGGTGAGTTCCCCGTACCTGAACCCCCTGATGGAGCTGAATGCCCATGCACCCCGAACCCCCTTCCTGGTCAGCCTGTGGTGAGTGCCCCATGTCCACACCCCTTCCTGGTCACCTGTGGTGAGTGCCCCATGTACCCCCAAACCCCTTCCTGGTCAGCCTGTGGTGAGTTCCCCATACCTGAACCCCCTGATGGAGCTGAATGCCCATGCACCCCGAACCCCTTACGGAGCCGGCTGTAAGGAGAAAGGAATGAGTCTTTCTGGTCATTCTGTGTCTTCAGAGCACGCTTTCCAACGGACGGTTTGTGAACTACATTCCCGATGAAATCCGTGAGCGCGTGCCTAATTTAATGTTAATTCCGTTCTCTTACTGACGAGTCCGGGTGAGAATGGATCTAGAAGTGTGTGTCCCTCTGAGGACCGTGAATGCGATGGAGGATGTCAACACCAGTCTCCTGGGGATTTGAACTTTGCAAAGCTGGTGAGAAGGGCTCGGATGGCTGCCCAGGGTGGACACCCTGAATTCCAAATTCTCAGTGCAGCCCACCAGGCCCGCCGGGACCTATGTTCTGGAACCTTCTTTCCATCCCATCCCTAGTTATTATCTCTGCTTTAAATATGCTTCCAAGAAATGCCCACCTGCCTCGGTGCCTGTGCAGGTGACACCTCCTCTTCCCGACACGCGCCTCCCCTGGCTGCCCGGTTCCTCTGAGCCCGTCCTGGACGTGCCTTGTGGCCAGCTCACGAGGACAGGACTCTCTCTCACTGCCGGCATAGAAAGGGTTCCAATTCAGGGTTCGAGTTCCGGAGAAGGGCCGCACACAAATGAAGAAATTCAACTTGGCGATATGGGGGGCCAGGCGGCAGTCCAACTCTAGTGGGAGAACTACTCCTGCTCTGGCCCTGCCATCCCTTTTATCGAGGCTTTGGGGAACACATCTTAGGCAACATAAACAGAAATTTACATGTAGCCCTTAGGCAGGAAATAACAGAAACTTTCACGGGACAAACAAGGTGGAGGCTGCTTCAGCTAACAATATCTCAACTAAAGGTTAGAGCAATGAAGGTTGTGGGCCAGCCTTCCTGGCTTCCTGTCACCATCTCTTTTCTAGTGAAACTGATTTGTTTTCCAGCACAGGAGGGCCTCGGGCCCCTGCTTCTGGGAGTCTGACGGGGTCCTGAACGCTGGGGGCTGATTCAGTGCCCGAGCTGGGCTCCTGCAGGCTGCCTCCCCCCCTCCCCCTTCCCCCGGCGGGAGGAGAGCACCCTGAGGAATTGCCTGTCGGCTCTAAGATAATGGGGTGCGGTTCTGCATCTCGCAGGGAGCAGGTGATGCATGGCAGCCCGGAGAGCCTGGCGCAGCCCTTCTGCTCCGTCGTTCTCGCCGACTCGCTCTGTAGCTGGCACAGGCGGAGGCCGGGCATGGCTGGTCTCAGGACAACCTTTTCTGTCTCTAAAGAATGAGGGACGGGTGCTCCCACGCCTGGGACAGCCCAGGCTGTGTTCTCAGAGCAATGTCTCACCGTCCTGAGGCAGAGCTGGCTGTTTGTACTCTCAGGCTATGACATCCAGGGGGAGGGGGAAGGGAAGGAAGCACAGGACCCTGTGCTGGGGTGCGAGGGGGCCGGGGGGGGGGCTGGAGAGGAGGGGAGGGGTGAGGGGGCGGTTCGGCACTTGGCTAGGGGTCTGATCTCCATGCTTATAATCCCAGCTCTGCCCCATGCAGGCAGAGAGGCTGCTATGTTCTGATTGGTGTACCCACCCCCATTCCTATGTTGAAGCCCTAACCCCCAATGTGACTGCATCTAGGGGTGAGGTCTCCAGGTAGTTAGTAAGGTTCACTAAAGGTAACTGCCACAGGGATGCTTAAAGCCCCAAGAAGGTGATCCATAGCAAGTGCCCAAGGATCCCGGGCATGAGGTGACCATGGCACCAGGGACCTCCTGGGGTTGCTGACCTGAGCACATGTCCTTCCAGCTGGCCTTTGGCTGGACACCTTGCTGACTCATCCTCTCTCAGCAGGGGCGTGAGCAGCGCTGACTCTGCAGGATGAGGCCTGAGTGTTTGGTACCAGATGTTTATCCTGGTTAAATGGTAGTGCGTAGGTAGCTCACTTGTGTTTTCAGACTTGTTTCCAGAATCCATTTCTACTTCCTGATTGGTTATATTTACTAGACTAGCTGTTTAAATGTTTTGTTTAAAATAGGGCATGTGGAGAAACCAAGATGGCAGCAGAGGTAAAGACACCTAAACTGCTGCCTCGCACAATAATTTCAAAACTACAACTAAAAGACAAAACGGACATCATCCAGAACCACAGGAAGGCTGGCTGAGTGGAAATTCTACAACTAGAAGGAAAGAGAAAAGCACACTGAGACTCAGAGGAGCTGCAGGAGGCAGAGGTACTGAGATGTGCACTTGCAGAAAGGACTGGCAACTGAGTGTGCGGCTGGCTTTCTCAAGCAGGAAGGAGACAAAAACTCCCAACTGCGCTCAACTGCAGTTCCGGGCAAGACTCTGGGGACCCAGACTCATTCAGGGAGAAACTGGACTGTCTGGCAGTGGGCAGAACTCAAGGGTGGCTTTCTCTCAGAGTTACTTGCAGCTATTACCACAGGACACTGAGACACGGGCTGATTAGGGCAGGGCTGATGGGAAACCAATGCTGTCTTCTCTTCCCTGAGACTCTGTCACACCCAAGCTGAGCACAGAGGCTTAGGCAAATCTTGTCTCATAAAGGTATCTCCAGCACAGAAGTTCTCCTAGCATAGACACAGCTGATCCTCACAGCCAATTGGCCTGGAGGTCAATTCCTTCCAGTGATACCAACAACAATCAAGGCTTAACTACAACAAGACTGTGCACACAGCCCACAAAGGAGTGCACCAAGAGTGTCCACCTCAGGGAACTGAGGAGGCTGAGCCCCTGGGCCCTATAGCACACAAAGCCACTCTATCAGCACAGGGAAGCAGCTAAAATGCGGAGACAGAGAAACAGGTCACAAATAAGTGGAGGAAAGCAAACAATGGATATAGAGTTCAAAACCAGTTATAAAGTTTTTCAAGAATTTTTTAGAAAAGGCTGATAAATTTAGCGAGAACCTTGTGGATATGAAAAAGGACCAACTAGAAATTAAGCATACAATGACTGAAATAAAAAATATTAGACAGAGATCTAATAGCAGACTAGAGGATTGCAAGAATCAAGTCAAAGATTTGTAATACAAAGGAGCAAAAACCACTCAACTGCAAAAGAAAAAAGAATCCAAAAATATGAAGTTAGTGTAAGAAACCTCTGGGACAACTTCAAGCGTACCAACATCCGAATTATGGGGGTGCCAGAAGAAGAGAGAGAGCAAGATACTGAAAACCTATTTGAAGAAATAATGACCGAAAACTGCCCCTCCCCCCCCCCCCCCCCCCCATGAAAGAAATAGACTTACAAGTCCAGGAAGTGCAGTGCAGAGAACCCCAAACAAAAGGAATCCAAAGAGGACCACACCAAGACATATCATAATTAAAATGCCAAGAGCAAAAGACAAAGAGAGAATATTAAAAGCAGCAAAAGAAAAACAGTTACCTACAAGGGAGTACCCATACGACTGTCACCTGATTTCTCAATAGAAACTATGCAGGCCAGATGGGAGTGGCAAGAAATATTCAAAGTGATGAATAGCAAGAACCTACAACCAAGATTATTCTACACAGAAAATTGAAGGGCAGATGAAGAATTTCACAGATGAGAAAAGCTAAAGGAGTTTATCATACCAAACCAGTATTATATGAAATGCTGAAAGAGGAGGAAGAAGAAAAAGGTAAAGATAAAAATTATGAACAACAAATACATATCTATCATCAAGTGAATCTAAAAATCAAGTGAATAAAAAAATCTGATGAACAGAATAAACTGGTGAATATAATAGAATCAGGGGCATAGAAAGGGAGTAGACTGATAATTTTTTGGGGGAAAGGGGTGTGGGGGGTACAGGAAGAGACTGGACAAAAATCGTACACCTATGGATGAGGACAGTGGGGAGGGGGTAAGGGCAGAGGGTGGAGTGAGAACCAGGTAGAGGGGAGCTATGAAGGAAAAAAGAAGAACAATTGTAATCTGAACAATAAATATTTATTAAATTAAAAAATAAAATAATAAAATAAAATAGGGCATGTGCCTGCCTGCTTGGCATGACTCAGTGGTTGAATGTCAACCTGTTAACCAGGAGTTCATGGTTCCATTCCCAGTCAGGACTCATGCCTGGGTTTCAGATTCCACCCCCAGTGGGGTTTACAGGAGGCGGCTGATCAATGATTCTCTCATCATTGATGTTTCTATCCCCCCCCTTCCCCTCTGAAATCAATAAAAAAAAAAGTTTTTTAAAATTGGGCATGTGCCTGCTCTGCCCACCTTACTGCTGAAGCAATGGTGGGAGTGGATACCTGGCAGGATTGGGTGAGAACAGATGCTGGAATCAGATTAGATAGTTCTCATAGCCAGCGTATCTTTCTAGAATCTTCCCTGAATAGCGATGGACTGAGTCAGGACACAGAGTGCTATGTGCCACTCCAGGCCCAGGCAGAACCGCTTGAATTAGTGGCTATTTTATTAAGGCATTGAGACCTCACCTAAAGTAGAACTACATGAGGTGTTTGAAGGTGCAGCTGGGCTGGGCGGCTGGGGGCAGGAGGGGGCAGGACAGAGACTGCAG